TTAACTCGGCTAAACAAGAACTGGAATCGCTGGTAAAACAAATACACCAAGCGGTTGAGTTTGCGGAAAATCTCGTGCAGAGAGGCCCAGGCTGGGATATTATAAAGACCAGGACAACTTTGAAGCACAAATTTCAAGAGCTTCGTGGAGTTGAGGTTTCAAGGCATCATCCAACAACATTTGTCAAATTTACCGCGGCATCCCAACAAGACTTGAAACTGGGTTTTATTCAACTCACCGAGAAACAGGCAAAAGCAGCTACATCAACTGTAGAAGGACTGGATCAAATTTTCCAGGCTGGTGTAGAAGTAGAGTTTACGTTATGTCCAAAAACAGCAGAGGGAGAGATTTTTAACCAGGCCGATCTTAAAGAGCAAGTTGTATTGCTGATAAAACCCACCAAAGATGTTACAAACGTATGCGTTGAAGAAAAAGGAGACGGCAATCTTAAGCTGAAATTTACACCTATAGTGCCTGGCCCCTACAGCGTTGAGGTGAAGATTAATGGCGAAAAGCTTCCGACCTGTCCGTTCACTTTGCCAGTGAAAGAACGTGAACTTGTCATAGTCGGCGAATTGGACTTGAAGTTCAACAAAGGGCAGAAGTTCCGTGGACCAAGTGGAATCGCCGTTAACAAGCAAGGCGACATAGCTGTTGTAGATAATCTTGGACACTGTGTTTTTATATTCAATAAAGATGGGAACTGTTTAAAACAAATTGGAAAAGAAGGAGCAGATCCTGGACAATTCAAATATCCAGCTGGAGTGTCATTTTTAAACAACAACGAAATTCTTATTGCAGATCAATCAAATAATAGAATTCAACATATAAATATCCAGACAGGATCTGTTGTAAAAACCTTTGGAAAAAAAGGTAACAGAAAAGGACACTTTCATTGTCCACTTAGTATTTGCCTTGACGATACAGAACGTATTGTTGTCACTGAATACGTAAACAATAGAGTTCAAGTAATGTCAAAAGAGGGCGAAGCTCTATTCACAATAGGAGACAGTGGTCCAGAGAAACTCAGCAAATCATACAGCTGCATTCCTTACAAAAACATTTTCCTGGTAACTGAAATAAACATTGAGGTCATAAAAGCATTTGATTCGTCAAACACTTTCCTGTACAAGTTTGGCGAAAAAGGGAATCAAGACGGACAGTTCAACTCACCCCGTGGCATGTGTTTAGACGGCTCTGATAACCTTCTTGTTTGTGACTCAGACAATAACAGAGTTCAGCAATTTTCTTTGGACGGTCGCTTTACAGGCAAAACTACCGTTCCTTTAAAAGATCCACTTCGAGTTGTAACAGCGCCAGATGGGCGTATACTAGTCACAAGCTGTACAGCTAAGAAAATATACATTCTGAGGTAAATGTGTTACAATTCTATGAATCATTC